AGAGAGAGGAAAGAGAAGAAAGGAAAGAAAAAAGAAAGGAAAGAAAAAAGAAAGGAAAGAAAAGAAAAGGAAAGAAAGAAGAAGGAAAGAAAAGAAAAGGAAAGAAAAGAAAAGGAAGGAAAAATAAAATAAAGTCCGAAAATAATTTATGAAGTAATAAAAATGAATTTCAGGGATTTTTTGAAGCTGACCTGGATCCTGAAGTCTGGGAGAAAGCTTGCTGCTGAAATGCTAGAACGCTAAGGGAATTAATTTGGGGCCTTTTAAAGTTGGGTGCCTTATTCGAAATTTGGAAATCTCCATAAATTGTGGGATTGACAGAATCCACAATTATGACTCCCTGATATGTGAATATTTTTTAATGGGCAGCTGACCTGAACTATTCTCTCTTAGCCGAGTCTACTACTCGACTAAGGGAGTGGGGGACTCGTGATGGGGTTATGGGACCAGGCCCAGAGCCTAATCGGCTCAGGCCCCGAACTTGGACCACCGGCCCAAGCCCAGCAACTTAGAGCTCGAGTCGGCCCAACCAATCAGGGCAATCAAGGAGCGGAAGCCCAAGAGAGCCTGTCGACCAGCCCAACGGGGAGCCTGCCTTCCAGCCCAGTGGGGAGCCTGCCTTCCAGCCCAGTGGGGAGCCTGACTTCCAGCCTAGCCAGGAGCCTACCGACCACCAGCCCCGCTGGGAGCCTGCGATCCAGCCCAACTGGGAGCCTACGGTCCAGCCCAGGTGGGAGCCTGCCTCCAGCCCAACGGGGAGCCTGCCTTCCAGCCTACCCAGGAGCCTGCCTTCCAGCCTACCCGGGAGCCTGCCTCCAGCCCGGTCAGAAGCCTTCCTCCAGCCTAGCGGGAAGCCCACCGTCCAGTCCAGCAGGAGGGAGCTCAAGCGTCCAGCCTGCCAGTCAGGCTGACCTGCCAGCCTGGAAGAGTAACGGCCAACAATTAATGCGCGACTTAATTATGTGTTTAATTCTGTATTAATGTTGTAATTAATTTAGTCATTATTATGTTCGGCAGTTACCATCTGTAATCACCTATAAAAGGCAATTCGAATTTCAAATACAGAGATGCTATTTCTGGCTAACTTTCCATATTCGTACTTTCCTAATTCTTGCTTGAGTGTCGTACGTAGCTTTCCTAAAAGCCTACGAGCGTCCTATTTTGGACCAACAGTACTAATATAAAATCGTGTATTATTTATATTTAGGGAAAATGTACAAGTATACCTTTGTACTATGAGTGTGACAACAAATATACTCATGTTCTATTTTTCGAAACAAATATACCCCTGAAGTATATGTGAAAGTGCATATATACCCATAAACTTTAAAAAGGTGCAAAGGTACCCCTCATATTCTTATAAAAGAGCACATTTACCCTTATTGACTTTAAATTGATAAAATAAAATATTATTTCAAAAATTTACTATATATTTAATATTCTTTCGAAAAAGTGTTAACAAATATGCTGCAATGTAAAAAGATTATTATTTTTTTTACATTCTTTTCACTATAAAATTACATATTTTGTATGATGATAAATAGACCATCATAAAAATATTTTTGAACTATAAAATTATTAATTTTTATTATTTTGTATTAATATTAATAATATTTATTAAGAGTAAACAAAATCAAAGAATGCTATTTAAAAAAATGTCACAATGTGTTCAAATTTTTGCAACAAGACTAATAATTAAAGAGTTAATATTATATTCTAACTTTTTTTTAAATTCATAATTTATTTTTGGTGTATTTTGAAATTTATTTTGTCTATTTAAAGTCGATAAGGGTAAATTTGCTCCTTTATAAGAACATGAGGGCACTTTTACACTTTTTAAAAGTTTAGAGGTATATATACACTTCAACATATATTTCAGGGATATATTTGTTCGAAAAAATTGAATAATGGTATTTTTATCTCACACTCATAGTACAGGGGTATATTTGTACCTTTCCCTTTTATATTTATTACTAAACATATTGTTTGAACTCTAGCTGGTATGAAATTTTATATCCTAGAATTAGATCGGTTTAAAACATTGAGTTTGGAAAACATAATTAAATTTATACCCACACTAAAAACATAAAAGTTGCTGAAAATAGGATCAAAACACACCTAAAATTCTAAAATAAACGCCGTAAAGGAGTATATAATATTATAAAAAATTTAAAATTGCCGTCGCATAAAATTTGGTCATTGATTTTGATTAATACAATATTATAAAAAATTTAAAATTTTTATACTTTTATCAAGGTACTTTTAACAAAGAATATTTTCATATACGTTTTATATTATAAATAATTTACAAAAAAAATATATAATTTATCAAACTTTTAAAGATGATAGTTTTTTGGGATGAAGGCAGTACTATACACTCCGTGCTAAGTAACATTATTTTGATAGAAATTACTACTTATAATAATTTATTTATTAAAATAAATTATTTATTATGTTTGTGCCATGCTTGTAACACGGAGTATATAGTAAAATTACTATTTAGTATATAGTAATGAACTTGGCATTTTTTAATAATTTATATGCTGATATAAATTACTATTTATAATAATAAAGAGTATATCTCCGTGTTAGAGTAAATAATGTATATCTAACACGGAGTATATAGTAAAATAATAAAAAATCGTAAAAAATACTAAAACATTAATAAAAATATTTCGATAATAATAATTTATTTATTTATTTTTCAAAAAATAAAAAAAATAAAAAACTCAAAAAACTAAAATAAAATTCACCGCCGCCTCTACACCACCACCTCCAGTCACCAGGGGAAAAAATGTCAAGTTCATTACGAATGCCATATTTATGGCAGAAAACAATGAAAATGTTGGCATTCTCAAATAGAAATATGCCATGTTTTTGGCATTTTCAGGACAAAATGACAATTTTTAGGAAAAATAGCATTTTTGTCACCGGCCGGAGATGGTGGTGCAGGGAGGTAGTACAGGCGGTGGGAAAGGCGTAAGAATGGAATGAAGGGTAAAAATGGAATGAAAAATAGGTATGTTTCCAATAGGACTAATATGGTCCTATTTTAAAAAGAAAAACATAGTAAGTCCTATTTTGAGTTTTTGCCATAGTTTTAGTCCTATTTGGAGTAATTTCTAAATATTAAACTCGAACATAATAAAACTTCTTACTAAAAAATACTCGGTAAAAGATATTTCATTCACCGTGTTTCCGGTTTACACCTTAATTTGTTTGTGCGGTCAGAGAATTTCAGCCTCGCGCATCATGAACACTTTGTTTTTGTTGGCAGGTTTATCTTCAACTGCTCAACACGGTAAAAAGAAATAATGGAGTTCATTGTTAACCGTAAGACACTTGGTTACACGACGGCTTCTTTTACACTTCCGATTGCTCAGTTGCAGGGAATGTTATAAATAAGAAAAGAGGAGAGGAAGAAGATGCAGTATTATCAATCCGTTCCTCTCTCGAATCGCCACCGTGGAGGAATCGTGTGGTTAAGCTAATCATACAATAGTTCTACTTGAATAGGAGAATTTTAATTCAAATTGAACACATTAGGGGTGGGAATTTTTTCCCGAATCCCGACTCCCGATCCTGATCCCGACAATCCCGATCCCGATATTCCCGATCCCGACAATCCCGATCACGACTAGTCGAGAATTTTTCCCGATCCCGACTAAGTCGGGACGGGACCGGGTTTTATTTTTGAAAAAAGTCGGGATCGGGAAAATCCCGACATCCCGACACTATATATATACATATATATAATTATATATGAATCCCGACCGGAGATGGTGGTGCAAGGAGGTAGTACAGGCGTTGGGAATGGTATCCATATTTTTTTTAATTTTATTTCAGAGTTTTACTAATTTTTATTAATTTTTTAAAAAAATAAAAAATTAAAATTTTTTAATTTTTTATTTTAAAAATATTTTATAAATGTATCTTTCTTTAGTAAGATATGTATATACATATACATTTACAAAAAATGAATATGTATCTAAGTATTAGCATATCTATTTTACTACGTACTTACTTATTCTTTACATAGATTACTCTTTTATATTACAATATCAAACTTCTAAAACTATTCGACATTTGTCCCAAACTGAATATTATGGATCCTAACTAAATAGATATTATTCTTGATCCCGACAATCTAAATCACAACAATAGTACAATTTTTGCGGTTTTGATGAACTCTTTAAAAAATCATGATTGAGAATAAAATTTATTTCTTTAGTAAATTATCATAATATGTATATATACATTATATTCATGGGTCACAAAGTTTCTCAATGAGCCTACTTAGTTTTGAATTTTAAAATAATACGTATACGTTACACATCCTTCTTTTAGTGAATATTTATATAATTTTTGAAGTAAGTTTCACTAAGCTTTGATAGCTTATTAAAAAATTATACTATTAATTAATTGAAGTTATAAATAAAAATTATTCTAAAAGTACGTACTACTATGAATTTGAGATGATAATTATGACTATAAATTTTATAAGTGGATGATGATAATATGGTATACTAATGATCAAAGAATAATATTGAAACCACTAAATATCAAAATTAGTGTTTAACTAAAGAAATTACATACTCCTCAAAAGAGTATGTCGGGATACATCATTGTCCGGAGTAATTTCATGTTTTATACATCATTGTCGGGATTAAGCGGGATTCTCGATCGAGAACCCGACTTAATCAGGATTTTAATGTCGGGATCCTGACTTAATCGGGACTCAGATATGAGAATCTATTGTATTTTGAATAGAGATCATCGTGGAATCCAGATTTTGGCAATTGATCCCGATCCCACCCTGGAACACATCCCAATTTGTCCTTATTCAATTTACTCCGTATTAAAGATTGCTTATACAAAAATGCAGATGACTAGTCAACGTGTCAGACAAAATTACGGGTCACCATTGTTGTACAAGGTGTTGGTTGGTACTTGGTAGAAGCCGGATGATACAAAAGAAGATATCATCAATCGGGTTGCCACCTGCACTGATTTTATCTTGGATAATGACTTTCCTAATTAGATGAAACATACTCCATAATTGAACTCGAAGTTCACATTGTTTGTTTGGTAGAAAGACAGAAGAATTAGAAATGATTTTGCATACTATTCTTTCATCTTCATTGATCTTTCTGATTGTTCTTTTCCTGCTAAGGAAAATCTTTTCAGAGAATAAGAGGCCACTTCTTCCGCCATCTCCAAAGAAGCTACCAATCATAGGCCACCTTCACCGGCTACTCATCGGAAACTCGCCGCCGCACCACGTCCTCCACCGCCTTTCCGACAAATACGCCGGAGGAGGAGGTCTCATGTACCTCCAGCTCGGCTCTGTTCCGACGCTAGTGGTTTCCTCCGCCGACGCCGCCCGCGAGATCTTCAGAGACCACGACGTCGTTTTCTCCGGCCGCCCTCCAATCTACGGCGGCAGGAAAATGTCCTATAATTGGGCCGACGTGTCGCTTTCACCGTACGGAGAGTATTGGCGGCAGCTCCGGAAGGTTCTAGTCGTTCATCTGCTAAGCCCGAAGAGAGTGCAGGGGTTCGCGGCGGTCCGGGAGGCGGAGGTCGGCCGAATGATCGAACGGATCGCTCAATCGTGTCACGGAACGGCGGGGGCGGCGGTGGATTTGAGCGAGGCGGCGATGTCGCTCTCCAACAACGTTGTATGTCGGGTGGGATTCGGGAAGAAACGTGACGGCGGAGGAGAGGCGAAGTTTCACAGGATTCTTCACGAGACGCAACAGCTGCTGGGGGAACCAAATTTGGCGGATTTCTTCCCGGGATTGAGCTGGGTCAACAAGGTCAACGGGGTTGACTCCAGGATAGAGAAGAACTTCAAGGAGTTGGATAGCTTTTTTAATGAAGTGTTAGAGGAGCATTCTATTAAAAGGATTAATGAAGAAGAAGAAGAAGATTTTGTTGACTCTCTGCTACGAATTCAGAAGGAGGAAGACTATCAAACTCTCTCCACCGAAAGTATAAAAGCTCTTCTTGTAGTAAGTTTCCATTCTTTCATTTCAAACGCGAATATAGCAAATTATACTACGTAGTATGTATCTCTCCTTGATTTTGGAGTTTATATGAAAAATGATTAAAAGTAAAATTGATAGTTTTTAAAAAAATTATGCAGTTTAAGTGTGTAATAGAAAAAGTGAAGAAAAGTTTTCTTGGTTGAGTTCTAGCTTCTCATCTGCGACGCTTCTTCAATTTCCTCTCTGGCATGCCTCCTCTGCAGCAGGGGAGGGTGCCAGCGATTTGTATGAGAGGTATTTGATTGCGGCTTGACTAGGTTGAAACCAGAGGTGAAGTCTGAAGTCCAGCCATCCGTAGGAACGGAGACAAATTCCTTCTCCGCTCGCATGCCAGCCAGTTTTAAAAGATGGCCACCAGTGCTGCAACAGTTATGTAGGCTATACAACGAAACAAATCCGGCGCGTAAGACAGATGATGCGGACGGTGGCGGAACCACAGGAGAAATCTGGAGAGGCGTGCTTGGGTTTGTCCCTGTTGCGGCGTTTCTTTAAGCTGAGGAGGTCCTTGCTCTTTTAGCTGCTGCTGTTTTTCCTTCTCGATACTGTTACATAGCTGATTGGGGAAGCCCAATTTGTTCTAAGCTGGTGTTAGTAGACTCGAAGTGTCAGTGACTACATACTCACGTATGATGGAGAAGAAGGATGCAGATATTTTGAAGTGGAAGTTCCAAAGGTTGTCTTGTGATGAGTTATAAGAGCTTATAAGGTTTTTACAAGGGGTGCAGTTCTTTCGATTAGACTCCCCCCAATAGCTGTAAGCTGTAATGGTTATGAAGAAGATTTTGTCATCCAGTTCAGACTTCAGACTTCCTCTGGAATGATAACAAGACAATATCTATAAAGCTAGGGAAGAGGGTAGCATTGGGTTCATGGAACCTACTCAAAAGATACAATTGTGTGGTAGGGGGAACCCAAAACTAGAGCTTTCACTTTAATTAAGTTGTTTACTCGAATTACTGCTGTGAAGACCTCTCTCATTTCTAATTTAGGTGCTATTGTCTAGGCTATTCAGGTTTTGAAACCGTTGTCTACCATCATCTAAGGCGTACAATATTTAGAGTTTGAGGAAGAAGTAAAACTTGGATGCCTTTAATATGGAAAAAGTAATACTTTTATTCATGGTTTTAGAATCAGGATGACTACTTAAGACAGGTTGCTGCATTTGAACATTCACAAGCAGTGCAACTTTGATTACTCCCAGTGAGAGGATGTTGAGCATCTTTACTCCCAATGCTTAAACATATAGAAGTATCTGACTTGTGTTGGGGTAAAAATGATTTTTTTAATATTAGGAATGCTGGCTAGTGCTTTTGAAAAGAATATGGAGGTGCTAGGCTACTAAGGTGTTAGTGTATACCATTTTGTTTAGGTCATATCCAGCTGAAATCATTATTCTGATTAACTATGGCTGGTACACATGGGTATTATATACTTTCTGATTGTTCTTTTGGGGTATTAAATGTTAACCATGTGAAAATGTATATACCTTTTTTGTCTTGCTTATAAAATCTTCATTAGAAAACAAAGTTGTATTTTTTCCTGATATCACTCTTATATTTTTATATCCTTACACCAAATTAAAATGAATGGAACAAAGTTGTGACCGATTTAAATTTGTTCTAGTATTTCATTCTTGTTTTTCTTTTTACATTGTTCCATTAATTAAATTTTGTGTTAAGAAAACAATTGAGTCCCTAATACAAAGAACAAAAGTTGGTGATTCTTCACATGCCTCCATTTTTTGTTATTATCAATTAGTTAGTTAACTGGAACAATATTCTTATATATATTTGGGGTGCATGCAGGATGTATTTGTAGCAGGTAGCGATACGTCAGCCTCAACAATAGTGTGGACAATGGCGGAGCTCATAAAAAATCCTAATATCATGAAAAAAGCTCAATCAGAAGTGAGACAACTACTCAAGGGAAAACAAAAGGTCAGCGAGAGTGATCTTCCAAATTTGAAGTACTTGCAATTGGTAGTAAAAGAGTCCTTGAGGTTCCACCCTCCCGCACCGCTGCTAGTACCCCGGGAAACCACAGACAAATGCACTGTCGGAGGATACGATATTCCGGCAAAGACACGAGTTTTCATCAATGCCATCTCCATCGGCAGGGACCACAAGGCATGGGAAAATCCAATGGATTTCTGGCCGGAAAGATTCTTGGAAAGTGAGGTTGATTATAGAGGCATGCACTTCGAGTTTATACCGTTTGGAGCGGGGCGGAGGGGTTGTCCTGGATTAAACTTCTCGGTCCCGTTGGTGGAGCTCGCGGTTGCCAATCTTTTATATAGGTTTGACTGGCAGCTTCCTGAAAGTATGAGTGTTGATGAGGTTGATATGAATGAAACTTTTGGGATTACCGTGCATAAGAAAACCCCTCTTTGCTTGCTAGCTTCCATCATTTCATTTCCTCCGTGATGATAAATTATGAAAATGTCAGTTTGCTAGTTTTAGAAGTTTGACAAAAAACATACATATAGTTGTTTGTAGACAATTCCTACTAATGACTATTAATTTGGACATGATTTATTGGATTGCCCTGGATTGATCTTGTTTGAACTTTGAACTAGCTTAATTAGTTTGATTCTTGTCTAATCTATTTAAGTATGAAGGGATAAAGGGTCATTAACGTTATTAGGGTAGTTAACAAAGGTCATTAGGTGGCTAAGTGTAGCCAAAATAAGGAGGAAGACAGTGTGTCCAATTTCTTCAACACATCTGTTTGTGTGGTTGTGTCTTGTAGGAAATTTCCTAAGAAGGGTTACATTTAATATATGTTCAAGTATGTACATGTTTATACGTTTCAATACATATGTGAAACAATCTTCTAATGGAGATTGGATTAGATTTTTGTATTGAGGACTGAGTCATCCCATTCTTACTTCATATAGCGCTGCCACCATCTACTTTAAAGACTCGATGGAATCTTGCAAGAGGTAGTGTGGTTTACATTCGAAGCATAGAGACTATAGCTTTAAAAACACTCAAAACAGACTTTTTTTTTAAAATAGTCTAATTTAAGATATGGCAACATATATGAGGAATTTCCAATCCAAATGAAACATCCTAAGTCGCCATTATTTAAAGCCCATTACTCCATTAGGGAGTCCATGTGTTCTACTCAAAAGTCTTACTATGTACGTAGTATTAGTTAATTTTTTACGAAACATGTGACCGTTGATTACCCAAGTTGAATTATATACTCCCTCTGGTCCTAAATAAACTTCACAGTTTCTTTTTTGGGTCGGTCCAAAATAAACTTCACACTTCCATATTAGGAAAGTTTTTTAGCTGAAATACCCTTTATATCCCTGAGCTTTTTACCCCCTTGTTCGGCCCACCCTGTCACTTTTATTCGCTTTATGCGCTCAATCTCTCTCTCGAACCTTCTATCTTTGTTCTTCGTCTCTCTGTCTTCCATCCATCACCCTCCACTGCCTCCAACCTCCTAACCTCCATCGCCACCCCTCCTTCTCCTCACTTCCATCCATAACCACCCCTCCTTCTCCTCACCTCATCCTCAGCCCTCATAGTTCTGACCTCTATCTCAATGGATCCCAAACCAGCCACCCCTGAAAACCCTAAGGCGGATCAGCTTCCCAAACCCACACACGCTACAGACCTTGGACCCTCACAATTCGAGAGTAAGTTGTGGGTAGATCCAGAAGCTGAAGCTTCACATGCAAATGCAAACCACGACTCAGTTTCGTTCAGACCATTCATAGTTCGATTTGGTTCTCAAAGCTCATCTGAAACTGATCCGACCTTGTCTCCGATACATTCGATGGTTTGGAAGGCCTGGATTCAGAAGATGAAGAGGAAGTGAACTCGGGACCGGGGCTGGATGATGGAGAAGAGAGTGACGGCGGCTTTGGGGAAGACGGTGGCGGCGATGGGGAAGACGACGACAACCAACAAACTCCTTAAGGACAGTAATCTCTGAACCCTTACTCTTTGTGTCTTTGATGTTGTATGGACTTATGATTATTGAGGGGGTGTTGATGTGTAACTAATGATGATTTAAGGGTTGTGATTGAACTGTGATGGGTGTTTGTGTGTCTGGGAATGCTATTAAGCTGGTTGTCAGTTCTGCTTGCCTAGGATATGTAACCTGTGGTCATGCTTATCTGTGTTTGCCTATGCTAAGGATGTGTTACCTCTGAGCATGATTATCTGTGTTTGTCTATGCTACAATACATGTGATGAATCTGTGATGATTATGAGGTGTGTTTGCTATGCTAAAAGCCCTGTGATGTAAATTGTGATTACTATGATCCATTTTGAGGTGTGATTGCTTAGGATCTGTAACCACTGATGATGATTATACTCCCTCCGGTCCTAAATAAACTTCAGTGTTTGCCTATATTAACTCACCTATGATCTGTGATGTAAATGTGATTAGTATGTGATGATTCTGAGGTGTTTTAGCATAGGATATGTAACATGTGGTCATGATTAGCTGTGTTTGCCTATGCATAACTCACCTGTGATGTAAATGTGATGAATCTGTGATGAGTGTGTGGTCTCTTTGTACATAAGTGTGCATTAAAATATGCTTCGATTGCTTCTGTTTAGACAAAAAGTGTACACTAGCAGTGGGGGACATTAAAAACTTGTACTCCCATGCCTATGATTGTACATACAAAAACAGTACCCCCGATTACTTATAAGCTTAGTGCACTTACAAAAAGGATCAAAAACTAGACCAAGTAGGGTATTTACTTCATGCTTGAAGATGTTGTTCATCTTCATGTATGAACTGAGTCCTTTGACTTGTACTGCCTGAATTTGTTGCCACCTGTCCATCCATGAATCCTTTAGCCTTTTGATACAAGTCAGGGGAGATCTGGACATTTTTTGGTAGCAGCCCTTGTCTTTGTAACTTGTCCTTCCCCACATGTTTGAGCTTGAAATTGTTGCCTCCTTTGTGCTTTAAGATTTCTTCCATTACATATTGATAGCTCAAAAACACTTTGTTCAGTTTTTGAGGTGTCAGCTCCTCATATGATGCTTGCACTGCCTGAATTAATTCCAAGATATTTTTTGGGGCCTTTTGATCCTTTATGGAATCAATAGCCCTAAAGAAACCTAGGTCTAAAACATTTAAATCAGGACTGTTAGGGGGTTGACATTGTAGTTGGATATTCCATCCATTCTCTGTTCTTGCTTTAACAAAGTCTGCATCATGTATTTCAATATGAGGCATGGCATTATCTTGTTGTAAGATGACTTCCTTGTTTGCTGTGTGTGGTCACTTGGATTTGATTGCTAGCAGTAGGGTGTTGAGTATCATTTCTTTCATTACTTGCCTAGTCACGCTTGATATTGGTTTGGTTTCTAAAGTCCCATCAGCCCTATTTTTGCTTGATCTCTTGGCTGTATCTTCATATGTGAACGGAAATATCCCTATTTTCCCATCCCACTCCACCTCCCCATTGTCACCAAACCTAGGCCTGCCAACTGCAGCCAGGAACATGATTTTGGGAATAAATTTCTTTGATTGAGTTGTTCTGTATGGATCTTCTTCTATCGGAAGGGTGTAAAAACTGGTACTTTCTTTAGACAAATAAAACCACTTTTCATCTATGTGAACACAATCATGAAAATCATGAAATGTTGGTGTTGTGTCCACTGAATGAGGAATTATTTTACTTAAGCAAAAAATTAACCTCTTCAGTTTCCCTGCATCGGTTAGAAGTGGTTTGATTGCACTTGAATGTCTTCGTATTTGCTTGCTCTTGTACCACCTTTGCACAGTTGTTTTAGATATTTCCATTGCATATGCAAGTGCTCTCTGATTTTTTCTCGTATGTAAGGGAATCTGGGAAAGCTTTTGTATGTCAAAACTCACTCTTTTTCTGCCAACATTCCCCTTCATCCTGCTTTCCACTTGAACAGCATTTCCCATCCTGCTCTCTGAGTAGCTAATTTTGTTATCACACCCCTTTGAAGTTTACCTTCAACAACCTCAGCCAATAACATGCAAATTATCTTGCTGCGAGTTTCAGAGGTCAACTTAGGCCATTTTTTGTGGCCTACTTGACTGGATCCCTCCCCCCTTCTGTTTGCACATCCTCAGTTACGTCAATGATTCCAGCGAGTAACAGTGTGTTTTGTCCTGCAGTTTCAGGTTCGGATTCTTCTTCAGGAGGTGGGTCCGCAGTTGGTTGGGCAGATACATTAATGGCAGAAGACTCCTCCATTAAAGAAGGAAGAAAGTAGATGAAGCTTTCTTTTAAATTAGTGTAATGAATCTGGTGTATTAATAGGTAGAAGTAGTGTTGTACTTGTAAAAGTTGTAGTTTGGAGGGAACTGTGCATATTCCCTCCTTTTTCTGCGAACGAAACACCCTGTCTCCTTTAGGGGTAATTTTCTTTTGGGGGGTATAAAGGGAAAGTCAAAACAAATAATTCCACTTTCTTAAAAACCGTAAAGTCAAACACTGAAGTTTAATTAGGACCGGAGGGAGTAATACATATGTAGTACGTACTTATAAAAATACATAAGACCAAATTTATTTTTAGACTGAAATTTTATAAAGAGGAGGGTTATGTTTGTAGAATTTCTGCAGCTCCCATACACACACCAACTCCATGGAATGGAGCTCCATCCTCTACCAATTGAAAGGGTATGGAGAGACATGGGATGCTATATGGGTACGTAGCAAGCAGATGTCCCCCAACATTTCCCTATAAATAAGATTATTCTTGCCTTTAATTTTCAAAAACATCAAAAAATAAAGAGAAAAAGTGAGAGTAATACACTTAGAGTGTAAGTGTATGAGAGAGTTTTTTTTGTAATAGTTGAGTGTGACAATTTTCTCTTTCCATTGTAACTATGTTATCGTTATGAATAGAAGAGTTTTCCAATCCTAACAAGTTGTATCAAAGATAGGTTAATCCTTCAACCCAATGATTCTAGTTTCTGCCCAATTTTTTATCAAAATATTTAAGTTTCAGAATCGTTTTGAGGATTTCAAATATATTTTTTTCCAGAATTTTCTTACCATTGGAGAGCCTTCAAACGTCAGATCAAAGTTGAAGTCTCCTACCCAATACTGTCGTCCGACGACAAACCCGCCGGAGAAGACGACAAGTCATCTGCCTCATCATCACCACATCAGCGCCACATCATGCACAATCAGCAACACGTCATCAACCATCCGACCGTTTGGCCATCACCCTGAACCACGTCATCTATCACGTGTGGACACAAAAGTGTGTGAATAGACTTTGATGCGGAGTGGCATGAAATAGTGCAGCAATATCAATCACCCACTCGATATTATGTGTACCTACGTGAAATCACACTTCTTCTCCACAAGTAACAAATGCAATGTCTGGTGACATAGTGACCATGGTCTCACCATCTTCCATGCCTGAACTTTGACTCGTCTTGAGCTGCTCACGTTAGAAACCTTTTGACATGTCTTGTTTCTATGCTCGCAATGACCACAATGGTTGCACTAGCCCTCGAACCAAGTATTGATATTGACGGACTTCCCTCGCTCTTGTGATCATCCTTTAACTTGAGAGCTCCATCTACTTTGACCTCGAGC